TTCTACCAATTTTGGTTTCCCCTAAACCAACCCTTGTTTCAGGACTGCTCTGGGCCATGTTAATAACGTTGGGGAATATACCCATAGTTTACTATGGCAAGTACATTCTCATTGCAATGTCCTGCCCTGCTATTCATATATATATATATCATATATATATCAATATATATATATATCATTATCATTATTCCATTATTCTTTGGAGGGAAAGAATAATGAATGTTGCATTCTGGCCTGGGCCAGGTCCTGGTTCCTCCTTTCTAACACTGTGGTTTGAGAGTCACTTGATCTTTCTATTCTTCTATTTCTTTACTGCTTATCTTAGACCATTTTGTATTGCTGTAACAAAATACTTGATGCTGGCTAATGCATAAAGATTAGAGGTTTCTTTTGCTCACCATTATGGTGGCAGAAAAGTTCAAACAATATGGTGCTGGCATCCTGACAAGGCACCTCCCCCTAGCTGTGTCATAACATAGCATTTGGCATCACAATGGCAGGAACATGTAAGTGTGAGCGGGAAGGACTGCATGGCAAGAAAGGAAGCAAGAGACAGGCAGGGTCCAAGATCACTCTTTTATAACAACCTGTTCTCTGGGGAGCTAATCCAGTCCCTTGAGACCTGACCCCTCTTTTGAGTTAGTCCCTTAAAGTTTCCACCATCTCAGTAATATTACTGAGAATAAGCTTCCCGTTTCTGAACCTTTGGGGGACAAGCCACATCCTAACCATAGCACCACTAGAACGATAAGGATCCTCCTCGTTAGTGTGCAAGTCAAATGGCTATTGGAGGTGACAGTCTCATCACTGTGAAGAGCTATGCATATGCCCTTGCTCCAGAGACCTGGACACTGAGGTTCCCAGGATACTGACAGATATAGCCCTCAGCCCACTAGCTCAGGGGGGCAGGCAGTACCCTTAGTTTTATGGGGCTATAAATTAGCTTGGCAGCCGTGACCCACCCATTTCCCTAGGTGGCACTTGCTTTGGGCTTCCCTGGACAGGAACCCTGCTTTTCTTCAATACATCTTCTCCACAGTCTGTTGATCGGCTCCTTGACAGAGCCTTTCTTTTCCATTCTAGAAACTCTAAAACTGAGGATGGCTCTTGGATATGCCTCCTGCTGTGTGTCTCTTGCCCAAGACATGAGCAAACAGAGCCCCAGCTGCCATCTGGAAGTGTCTCCAAGCACAGGGAATGCCAGGAACTAAACATCTTTTCAGTTACCCAATTAAAAGATAGGATACTGGGGCTGGGGTTGTGGCTCAGTGGTGGAGCACTTGCCTAGCATGTGGGAGGCACTGGGTTCAATTCTCAGCAGCACATATAAATAAATAAAATAAAGGCAACAACTAAAAAATTTTTTTAAAAAAATAAAATGAAAAATATTATACTATGACAGACCCTTCCCTTAGGAGAGACTCAGCCTACCAGGTCCAGTGACTTCTCCTTCTGGAGGTAGCTGCACAGAGAAGTGAGACTGAAGGCAGCAGCATCCCCTGCCTCAGCAGGAGATGGGCAGGACTGACAGCTCACTATTCAGCTGGCTCAGTAATGCAGGATGGAGAAAAGGGCCGTGTGAGCTCTGGGTCACTGTGGTTTAGCAGGCCTAGGCTGCAAGTTCATGGGAGCTCCCAGGGAAGTCAGAGATAGTGGCAAAGAGTCTGCTTTACCGGGCCTCGAAGGAACAAGTCTAGCAGAGGTCTTTAGACGAGGCAGGCAACCCAGCACATGTGGGCAGGTCCCAAAGGCCAACATGAAGGTCAAGGAGATCACTAGGAAGCCGATCCAGGACCATGCAGAAGCTTGCTGCTGGCCAGAGCTCCCTGCAGCAGGAATCCTGTGAGAGACAGGCATCCTGGGCTTTAGGGTCAAGCCCATGTGGGGAAAGTTGAGGTGGCACCCAGGATTGATGAGGCAGAATGTGCCTGCTGTGGGGAGTTTGACTACCAGGTCCCACGGGGACAGAGAAGAGCAGCTGGACCAGGCTCATGTACCCCCAGGCCTGGGGCACAACAGACCTTACTGACTTTGGGGCTGCTCCCTGTGTCCTGAATGAGACTGAGACTTCCAGGGACCAGACTACCTGGCCAGGCTTTCCCCCCCTGCTGCTCTCACCTGCTGACCTCAGGGGTCCTGTCTTTCTGTCTTTACCTGCTTTGCCATTGGGCCTTGGGGCTTGTCCACAGGAGCTGGGGAAGGAGGGAAGGAGAGTGTTCTATAATATAATGTCCAAGGCACCCCCAAAATATCATGATGAGAATAATGATGACAAAAATAACTATGTTTAAGGTGAACTTGGCGTTTCTAAAACATCTTTTTTAAAAAACCCCACTGCCTTGAGTGGACCTATAACATACAGTTTGGTTAGAAACTATGCTCCTTGACAGAAGCAGCTTCAAGACTAGCCTTAGCCCAGCTCTGACCTGAGGGTGGCCCTGTGCCCTCCTTTAAGGGATATCTGAAGGGGATACTATATAGTGACCCAGGGGTTAGGATCAGGAGAGCACACTCTGAGGTCTTTTGGAGCCAGGAGGTCATCAGGGGTGGCAGGTAAGTGGCCCTGTGAGTCCTATCTCCAGACATGGTCCTCAATTCACAGCCCTGGGTTACACTGGGGTGGCTTCATCTCCAAATTCCTCAAGAGAAACTGGATATTCTATCTTGTTTTTAATGTGAAATCTCCCAATTTTCAAACACTGTCAACCAAATAAGGCATTCCCCCCCTCCCCCCAATAAGGGATTTTTAAAATACCACCCGGTCTTAATGAGCACCTCTGTGGTCTGGTTTTGCCCCTAGGGGCTGCCCATGCATGATCCTTAGCTTGATAGGGGCAGAAGGGAATGTCCAGCTTCTTCCCCAGGGAAAGACTTTTTCTATGGAAATTACCATCTTTCTGTTTCCCAAGGTGGTTCTGAAGGTGAGCTGTCCCTGCTCGTTGAAAATGCAAAGAAATAAATGTATAAAAATAGAGGAGCAATCCCTCAATTCTTCTGTCAGGTTTAAGTCCCCAGCGTCTCCTCTGGGAGCAGCAGGGATGGCCCTGAATCATCTCCAGGCAGCTGAGTGGAGCACTGAGCTCTGCACGGGCACTGCCTGCAGGGCTCCCAGCCCCTCCCCTGACCCTGGCACAGCCCTGGGCAGCACCAATGTGTGTATGTCTGTGTGTGCTTGCATTGTGTGTACATGTGTGTGTACGTGCATGTAGGTGTGTGCCTGCACATGTATGTGGATTGTGCCGGGACTCCAAGGACCCAAGAAGGCATGGGAACCCAAGCAGCAGCTGCTCAGTCCTGGCCCCAACTTGTTCTTTTTCCAGTCAAAGCCGGCACCTTTGCTTCTCACCTCCTCTCTTTTCATTCTTGGTCTCGCCCACAACCAAGCTGCAGACGTACCTCTGACTAAGTCAGTTCATCTTGTCTGAAGCAGGAAGCAGAGTTTAAGGAAAGAGCTTCTGGCAGAGAGTCAGCCATGCTGGGGTTCTGTCAGTCTCCTCATCTGTCAAATGGGGACAGTAATTTGTCCTGAAGATGCCTGTTGCACTCTTTGAGGAGATGAATACTGGGTTCAATTTGGGGTTGTGGGCCCCCGAACCAGGCTGCCTCACATCTCCCTGAGTGGCCAAGTTCCCCTTCAGAGGCCTGGTTCCACCTCCAGAGCCTGTCTTGTGCCACCTTGACATGGAAGGAGTGGCCATACCTGTCTGGGGAAAGTGGTAGATAAGAGGCGATAGGGATAAGTGACAGAGTTGTTCTGGAAGACTCTTTATAGACAATGTTTCAGGGATGTCAACAGCTGAGCAGGGCTCTTGGTACCCACTCTAGCTAAAGCTAGGGCCTGGACATCACCCTCAGTGTTGATGATGTCACCTGCGTCTCTGGTTCTTCTCAGGGCAGGAATCACTGAGTGCCACTGAGAAATACAACCTGGCTTGGACAGAGACCTGTGCAGCAGGGCAGGGGTGAAAGGGATGGGGCTTCCAAGACAGTGGCACGGGGACTCAGTGGGCAGCATACAGTGTGGTCTGCAGCTGCCATCAATGCTGATGGTTGGCCTCGTCAGTCTGGCTGTGACCCCAAGAGGTGAGGGCAGGGGAGGGCTGAGAACTGGAGCACTGGTCCAGGGTGACATTTAGACCCAGTGGGGAAGTAGATGGGAACAAAGGCAGAAGCCACAGCTTTGCTGACAGTGGGACACCATCTGAGGCCCTGAACTTGAAGGAGCTCCAGGTCCTGGACCTTGTAGCTGAGACCCCTCAGGCCCTCACCCCGACCAGGCTGCTGCTCATTGCCTGTGCTAACTCTTTAGGGGCAGGAGGTCAGGGCCTGCTGTGGGGAGCTGTCATGAGGAGCTTGTGTTGGTCCCTGCACAATTCATCGAGCACCAGGAGCTGACTTAAGAGTGGGGTGGGGGACATCTACCTGGTCCCTTTAGTGGAGGACTGAGCAGAAAGCTCTTGGAGGGGAGCCAGGCTGGAGGAAATGCTGTAGAACACATACTGCTGGGGTGAGGCCTACGTTTCCTCAGTTATAACAGAGGTCAGGGACACCTGGGACATCAGCCTTTTGGTAGTAGGCTAGCCCTTTGGGAGTGTGTTAGTGTATGTGGGTGGAGAGAGCTGGCAGTGCAGGCGACACTCCTGGCCTCAGATGCTGGGTGCCAGCCCTGGGCTCCCCAGTCTGTCATAGTCTTAGGAGGACACCATGGCCCTCACTGTGGCTGTAGTTACTGCCTGGTACTGGCCAAAGAGTTGGCCCTAAAGCCTCTGAGGTGGTTGGTTTGAGTGCGGCTGAGTCTGAGCCAGCTTGGCACATCACTACAGCCCCTCTCTAGACCTCAGTTTGTTCTTCTGCTAAATGGGGGCAACAATGCCCTTGATGATGATGATGATGTTGCTGGCACTTGGCTGGAGCTGAGCTGCATCCAGTGGCGTCTCGTCCTGCTGTGATGTTCCCAGTGAGCCCGGCCTGCCGCTGATGATAATGTCCTATCCCTGTAGGGGCCTCCCTGGGCAACTTGGATAGCCTCAGCCAAGCGCTGGGCGTCTTGGAGGAGCGGGTCAACAGCTCCAGGAGGAGGGCACGAAGACACGCTGCCGATGACGACTACAACATTGAAGTCCTGCTGGGTGTGGACGACTCCGTGGTTCAGTTCCACGGGAAGGAGCACGTGCAGAAGTACCTGCTGACGCTCATGAACATCGTAAGTGGGGCCGGGTGGGTTAGTGCGAGGCCGGAGTCAGAGCGAGGACATGGGGGCGTGGAGTGGGGGGGCATCATGGGCGGGGTTAGACTGCAGGTGGCGCCTGTAGAAGAGTCCGCTCAACTTTCTGTGCCAGACTGTTAATTTTTTTCCACTTGAAGCTGGAAGCGAGGGCCATCCTCAACAGGGAGGCTTTCTGGGTCCACAGGTGAGAAAAGTTGAGCATCCCATCCACCTCCCTGAGTCTCAGGCTTCTTGTCCGCAGGTGGGGATGATTCTGACTTGGCAAGGCTGTTTACAAGTTTAAGCAATTTTTCCCACACTCCAATCATTTGTGTATCTTTTATAAAAAAAAAAATTTAATGATTGCCATTTTTAAAATTTAAAATTATTTTAAAAAGAAATCTCACTTCATCTAAGAAATAATCTTTTTTTAAAAAATTTTTATTATTGGTTGTTCAAAACATTACATAGTTCTTGACATATCATATTTCATACATTTGATTCAAGTGGGTTATGAACTCCCATTTTTACCCCGTATACAGAGAAATAATCTTAAGGTAAAATCCAAAATGACCTTATTCAATGCCAGCTAGATAGTTCTGCATTCGGCCGGCCCTCAAGACAGAGCTTTGGCCCACTTTCTGCCAAAAATGGAGATGAGTGGTGTTAGGTAGGAGGACAGACAGACAGACACTGATCAGAGGCTCGTCCTTGAAGCAGTCAGAAGAACTGAAGGTTAAAGAGGGAATCACTTTCTTCCTGTGAATCTGGGGTATTTAATAGGGGTGCCTAGGTTTCACATAAGTCTTCTCAGTACCTGCCTCTTGTGTGCTTATTGTTTAAGTTACAGGGTCACCCCCACACATTCCATGCCTCGTGTCCTTTAAGAGGTACAAGATGTTGATCAGTGTGCAGGTGTGGAAACCTTTGCTCTCTCTGCTTGGTGCTGATCAGGCTACTGTGGGGACATGGGGCACCCAGCCTTCAAACTGCAGGCTCTGGGGAAGCTGGGTTAAGCTTTTCAGCCCTCCCTCTCACTGGGGCTGGCCCTTCTGAACACTGCTAAGAGCCTAGGTCTGGGAGGGAGGATGGGGTGTGGCTTTGAACAGGAGCTGAAAGGGTGGAGTGTTGGTGCGGAACAGGGCGATTGGTGGAACAGGGTGATTGGTGGTTGGTGGGGTGGAAGCCTGGGTGGATGGGGAGTTCTAAAGTAGCCAAATGTTATCATGAATGAGGTCTAATACAAGTCCAGCCCAGGCAGGCAGTAAAGGGCAGAGGGATCTTCTCGGGGCCTACTGTTCAGCTCTGCTTTCTAGGGCCAGGTGGTGAACCTTTGGGAACCCAGTTGGCACAGTGTCCCCAAGGTGCTGATGAAAGATGCATCAGGGAGGACGTGAGTGAGCTGAACCTTGGAGGGAGAGACTTTTGTCCACGTGTTCACCTCCCTCCTCTCCTGCCTTAGATGAGCAATTGACAACCACCCCTCAATCTTCTCAACTGCAAAGCGGTGCTAAAGTCCTCTCTATTTGTACAGTGCATTTTATTTTTTAGAGTGCCCTTAATCTTATATTAATTTTGAAAAGTTCCTTTAATGTAATAATAATAACAATAATTACTCCAATTATTAGCTCCAATATGTGGCTGTGTGCCAGCCTGTTCTAGGTACTTATTATGCAATATGTTAGGATATCTTCACCATGAGTCCATAAGACTGGTAGATATAAAATCTTTGTGTTCAGTGTATGTGTTCTTCCCCAAGGGATTCTACTGCCTTCCCACCCAGTGGGAAAAAGGACTGTGCTTGGAATAGAGTCTTGGCCCCACCTTTTCCAGGTGTGTCATTGGGAATGCTGCCCCAGTTCTCCAAGCCTTGGTTTTTTCATCTTTAAAATGGGCCAGTAATTTCCATCTTGGGCATTGTAGTGAGGATTTAATGAGATAAGGGAGATGGATGTATTTTTTAGTCTCTAAATAAGGTGACATGTTTTTCAGTCTCTAGGTAAAAATGTGTTTTGCTAACGTGACAGCAACAATATTTGATTTAATAACAGCACACAAAGAACCATTCTTAAGAAGTCTACCAGGGACTCTGCCTGGAGGTGGGGGTATCCAAGGTGAGTTCTTCCTGAGACATAATGTAGCACATCTTCCTTTTCCCTGGTTGGAGGTTCTTGTGTCATAGAGAGCTGGTTGGAGGAAGTCTAAAACTTTCTCTGGGTTTTGCAGTGAATGTCAGTGTATTTATTCACACTCCTATGATCCAACTGGACCTCTATTTTGGATAATGGGCAAAGTTTTTAGAGGATCATGAGAAATATAAAAATTATTAAATCGAAATGAGCTTTATCATAATGAACAACAACAAAAAAGGATTTTGGGAGCTAAATCCAAGAAGTTAAGAAGTGGGAGTAGGAGCTTATCTTTTTTTTCTGTTTCACACAGATGTGCATTTATTTATTCAGCAACTGTTCATTGAATGTGTACTTATCCTAGGCACAGCGGTGAGTCCTTCAGAGAAACAGGGGCATGGTAGAGAGGCCTGGGGCTCAGCGACGCTCTAGGGGGCAGGGGGGAGTTTTTTCTATTCTGAGCTGAGCTCCACCTGCCACAGCAAGAGCACAGTGTGGATAAGGGAGATAAGGTTCGGCTCAGCTGGGAGCATGGCATTGCCCTGACAATTAATACCCTGTGTCCTCATTGAGAGTGCGTGCACACCCGGGAAGAGAGAGGATATAAGACAAGTGGGACCCTTGGGTGGTCTTGGGGCTGATTTAAAGCATGCAGGGCCCTTTGGTGATCTTAGGGAGGAAGGGCATTGAAGAAGGACAACTATTTGAGAAAAGGACGACCTTGTAGAACATTGTTGTCTCAAAGAGCTATTCGTAGTGACAGAAGTGCTGTCATTCTGTCCTGTCCAGTGTGGTAGCCACTGGCCACACTGGCTCTTGAGCACTTGAAATGTGGCTGGTACAAATGAAGAACTGAATTTAATTTATGTTTCCAACATAATTTTAATTTTAAAATTTTTGTTGTGATAAAATATCCACACAGGCATTATCATCTTCACCATTTTTAAGGTTCAGTGGTGTTAAGTGCATTGCATTGTTGTGCATCTCTTACCACCATCCATCCCCAGAGCTCTTTTCATCTTATAGAACAGAGACTCTGTATCCATTTGTGTTAGTCAGCTTTGTGTCACTGTGATTAAAATACCTGACAAGAATAACTTAGAAGAGGAAAAGTTTATTGGGGGCTCATGGTTTAGAGGTCTGAGTTGATGGTGGGCCAACTCCCTTGCTGTGGACTCAAGATGAGGCAGAACGCCATGGCAGAGGAAAATTACTCAGGTGATAGCAGTCAGGAAGCAGAGAGAGAGAAAGGGAGACGGCTCAAAGAGCCAGGGACAAGATATAATCCCCAAGGGCCCCCAATGATCTGCCTCTTCCAAGTGCACCCCATCTGCCTACACTTACCATCCTGGAGTCCGTTCATTATAAATCCATTAAATGGATTAATCCATTGGTGAAATTACACCTTTCATAATGTAATCATTTCATCTCTGAACATTCCTGCCTTGACTAACTAACACATGAGATTTTTAGGGGGCCTCCTCATATCCAATCCATAGCACCATTAAACACTAACTGCTCATCTCCTCTTCCTCCCCTCAGCTCCTGGCAACCACTGCTCTACTCTCTGTCTCTGTGAATTTGACCACTCTAGGTACATCAATCACATAAGTGAAATCTTGCCATATTTGTTGTTTTCTGACTGGCTTATTCATGTAGCATGATATCCTCAAGGTCATCCATGTTGGAGCTTGTGCCAGAATTTCCTTCCTTTTTAAAGCTGAATAATATTAAATTGAATGTATGGACCATATTTTATCTATCCATCCCTCCACTGATGGACAGTTGGGTGGCGTCCACCTTTTGGCTGTAGTGAGTAATGCTACAAACATGGCTGTATGAATATCTATTCAAGGTCCTGTTTTCCATTCTTTAGGGTCTATACCCTGAAGTGGAAATGCTGAATCATGTGATAATTCTACGTTTGACGTTTTGAGAAACCACCAAACTGATTTCCTCAGCCACTGCATCATTTTATATTCCCACCAACAGTGCACAAGGGTTCTGGCTTTTCCACATCTGCACAACACTTGTTTTTTTTTTTTTTTATAGTAGCTATCCTAACTGGTAATTTATTTGTAGTTAATTTGTGCTTAGATGCTTAGATTTAAATTGCCAGGGTGGCCAGTGTCAACTCTGTTGGGACAGTGGAGTTCTGGAAGACATGTGTACAGTGGGAATGCTTCCTGTGTCCTCTCTCTGAACTTGAACTTAGCCATCATATATTAAACAGCAGCACGGGGTGTGTGGGCCTCAAACCAAATCCCAAGTGGCCTTTGGAAGCCTGGCCAGTAGCTTGTCATATTCCTCATGTAAGTTCACAGCTGGTCTTAGGGCCTCCCAGGGCTGGAACCAAAGTAACAACACAGAAGGACAGATGTGGCAGTCGCTTCCCTGGGCTGTATTCCAAGTGCGGCATTTGGTTGATTGTAATAGCAGGCAGGGTCAGGGTTTGGGGGCCACCCCACAGGGCAGGCATGCATGACTGCTGAGGAAGGCCATTGAACTATGGGAGAAGGGTCTAGTAGGGGTTTCAATAGTGGGGACCCAGGATATAGACTGAAGAGGAGAGGCTGAGGTGAATGGGGTGGGTGCATAGTGCCACATTGGCAATTCTTAGATTCCCTCATTGTCCAGGGTGATTTCTACCTGAAGGTCTCCCTTTGGGATCACTCTGTGCGCAGAGTGTAGGCTGGGGTGAGGGTCCTGGTATGGCACAGACAATCCAGGCATATAAAATATCTACATTTTACCCTCCACTGCCCAGTCTCCCATGCAGCTAATTTAGGACCATGTGGCTAGTTTTGTGTAGTGGTCTATATAATATCACTAAGTGCTACTATGTGCCGTTCATCTCTTTTCCTGCCA